GCTTTTGACAGAGTGAAGTGGACCAAGCTGGTGGAGATCTTGAAGAAGATTGGAGTGGACTGGAGAGATCGGAGGCTCATCGCGAATCTCTACATGAAACAAACTGCGACGCTCAGGACGGAAAGTGGAGACTCGGATCCGGCAGAAATTGGACGCGGAGTGAGACAAGGGTGCTTGCTGTCACCATTACTTTTTTCAATCTACGCCGAAATGATGATGATAGAAGCAATGGAGGGTGTGGAAGAAGGTGTTCGTGTTGGAGGAGAACTGCGGAAGGATGTAAAGTTTGCGGACGATCACGGTATGGTGGCAGAGACGAAAGAAAGTCTGCAAAAGTTGATGGACGCAGTAAGCAGGGTTTGAAAGACCTACGACATGAAGATCAATGTGAAAAAAACGAAAGTGATGAGAGTTTGTCGGAAAGGAAGCGAAAGGGAAGGAGGCAATGCGGTACACATAGTAGTAGACGGAGAAGAGGTGGAGCAAGTGAAGCAGTTCCGATATTTAAGATCGCTGATTTCGGAGGATGGTACATGCGAACCGGAAATTAGGTGTAGGATCGCAATGACCAAGGATGCATTCAATAGGAGGAGAGAGTTGCTCACGAAGCGAATTAACAAAGACCTCAAGAAGAAGATCATCAAGACGGTGGTGTGGAGTGTCGCTCTGTACGGATAAGAGACATGGACTATGAAGAAGAAGGAGAGAGATAAATTGGAGGCATTCGAAATGTGGACATGGAGAAACATGGAGAGGATCAGCAGGCAAGAGCACAAGATGAACGAATATGTGCTGGCGAGAGCGGGTGAAAGCCGGAGGATTTTGGACGTCATCTTGCAAAGGAAAAAAAGTTGGATCGGACACATTCTAAGAGGTGAAAGCCTGGTGAGAGAGGTCCTGCAGGGCAGATTCTACGGAAAGCGTGGAAGAGGCAGGCCGCGTGCTATGTTATTGGATGATATTATAAACGAGGACTCGTATGCGGACATCAAACGAAGAGCTATGGAAAGACAGAAATGGAGAACATGGGTGCTTAGAACCTGCCCTCGGCCAGAACACCAATGATGATGAATGCCGTTTTTCGATGCACTTACAGATTCCGTCTTAAAAGTGGAATTGACGTTTTGGCCGAAGCGAAACTATGTCAGACTGGCGTCTTTGATAGTTTATTTCCATATATCATATTAACAGTACATACTTCGTGCAGAAGCCTTTCATCTATATTTTTCTGGTACAACAATAACAGATATCAGCTATGATGGAAAGGTGTGTCTTGAAGATAATTACTCAACTATAATTAACCTATTTTGTTGTGCTCATAACGTAAATAAATTTCTCATAACTAGTACAAACTGAAGCATCTAGCTCTAACAACCTTAAATAAACAGATGTAAGTTTGTTCGGGAATGGGACTCTTACTGTTGTTTATGAAAAACTAGGGTTGAAAGCTTAGTGGTTAGGACAACGACACATCAATTCGATGCTTCCAGTCTGAATCTCGGTAGAGGCATTTTATTTTGTGTGTAATATGTTTTGTTTAATTCTCACAGACGATAACCTTTTTACAGACCAAATTCAGTTACGATTAGACTGATTGTGCAGAGTAGCTTTTAAAAAAGGATCAATCACT